GGGGACACAGGGATGTGGGTGGGGGTGGGAGCTGGTGTGAGAACAGCCCAAAGTTGATGATGATGATGATGATGATGATGATGATGATGATGATACCAGAGTTGGGGCATGGTGATGATGATGACAACAATGATAACGATGACCCTGAAATTGGGAGATGGTGATGATGATGATGGTGATGATGATGATACTGGAATTGGACAATGATGATGATGATGATGGTGATGACAGTGACAATTACGATGGTGATGGTGGTAACGATGACAACGATGAGGATGACAACGATGATGATAATGACAATGGTTATAATGATAATGACAATGATGACAATGATGATGATGACGATGGTGATGATGGTGATGACGATGATGGTGACAATGAAAATTATGACGACGGTGGTGATGATGACAGTGATGGACAGTGATGGCAATGATGGCAATGATGACGATGGTGATGGTGGTAATGATAATGATGACGATGATGGTGGATGATGACGATGACAGTGACAATGCTGACAAAGACAATGATGACAAAGACAATGATGACGACAGGGATGATGATGGTGATGGTGGTAATGATGATAACGGTGATGGGGTGACAATGATGGCGATGACAATGACAATGATGATGATAACGATGATGGCCATGACAATGATGACAATGGCAATGGTGACAATGACAACACTGACATGATGGTAACAATGATGACAACGATAATGATGACAATGACAATGACAATACTGACAATGACAATGACGATGATGATGATGACAACGATGATGATGACAATGACAATACTGACAATGACAATGATGACAATGACAATGATGATGATAATGATGACGATGACGATGATGATGATGACAACGATGATGATGACGATGACAATGATGATGATGACAATGACAATACTGACAATGACAATACTGACAGTGACAATGATGATGATGATAACGATGACAATGACAATGATGATAATGACAATGATGACGATGACAATGATGACAGTTACAATGACAATGATGACAATGACGATACCGACAATGACAATGGTGATGATAATGATGATGACAATGACAATGATGACGACAATGTTGACAATGATGGTGATTATGATGACAATGATGACAACGACAGTGATGATGATGATGACAGCGATGACAATGACGATGACAATGACAACACTGACAGTGATGATGATGATAACAATGATGATGGTGACGATGATGAAGATGACACTGCCAGCCTTCCCCCCAGGACCGGAAGCTGACGAAGGTGGAGCAGCAGCGCTTCAAGGAGGAGGCCGAGATGCTCAAGGGGCTCCAGCACCCGAACATCGTCCGGTTCTACGACTCCTGGGAGTCAACGCTGAGGGGCAAGAAATGCATCGTCCTCGTCACCGAGCTCATGACCTCGGGCACCCTCAAGACGTGAGCGGGGCCGGGGGGGCTGGGGGGCCACAGGGGTTCTGGGGGGTCACAGGGGGCTCACCCAGCCCCTCCCAGGTACCTGAAGAGGTTCAAGGTGATGAAGCCCAAGGTGCTGCGGAGCTGGTGCCGCCAGATCCTGAAGGGGTTGCAGTTCCTGCACACCAGGACCCCCCCCATCATCCACCGCGACCTCAAGTGTGACAACATCTTCATCACCGGCCCCACTGGCTCCGTCAAGATCGGGGACCTGGGGCTGGCCACGCTCATGAGGACCTCCTTCGCCAAGAGCGTCATCGGTGAGCGTGGGGACCCCAGGGAGCAGCGTGGGGACACCTGGGACCATCCGGGGACATCCTGGGACCAACATGGGAACATTCTGGGACATCCTGGGACCACCATGGGGACATCCAGGGACCACCATGGGAACATTCTGAGACATCTTGGAACATCCTGGGATCAACTGGGACCACCCTAGGATCATCCTGGGACCCCCAGGACCCCCCAGGACCACCCTGGGACCCCCCAGGCCTCCCCCCCCCAGGGTCCTAGGTGCCTGGGACCCACCAAAGACCAACCTGAGACCCTCCTGGGGACCCCTGGGACCACCCTCAGGGATCATGACCATCTGGGACCCCCAGGACCTCCTGGGACCCACCCAGGGGTCCTGACGCCCCCCTGCTGCCACAGGGACCCCTGAGTTCATGGCCCCCGAGATGTACGAGGAGCGTTACGACGAGTCCGTGGACGTTTACGCCTTCGGGATGTGCCTGTTGGAGATGGGCACGTCCGAGTACCCCTACTCTGAGTGCCACAACGCTGCCCAGATCTACAGAAAAGTCACCAGTGTGAGACCCCTGAGATCCCTGAACCCCCCCCGAGCCCCCCAGCACCCCCCAACCTCCCTGAGACCCACTCTGACAACCCCCAGTCCTCCTACTCTGAGTGCCACAGCACCACCCAGATCTACAGGAAAGTCACCAGTGTGAGACCCCCAAAACTCCCCTGAGATCCCCAACCCCCCCTGCAGACCCCCCACCCCCCCCCCCGCCCCCCCCACCCCCCCCTCCCCCCCAAGACCCCTTTCTCCCCCCCAGGGCATCAAGCCAGCGAGTCTGCACAAGGTGCGGGACCCCGAGGTGAAGGAGCTCATCGAGGGCTGCATCCGGCAGAACCGGGACGAGAGGTGGGACCCCCGGGACCCCCAGGGGACCCCCCGGGGCTGAGCCTCCTCCCTGGGACCCCCCGGGGCTGCATCCGGCAGAACCGGGACGAGAGGTGGGACCCCCCCCCCAGACCCCCCCGAGGCTGCCCCCCCCCAATCCCAGGCTCTCCATCCGGGACCTCCTGGCACACTCGTTCTTTGCCGAGGACACGGGGCTGAGGGTGGAACTGGCCGAGGACCCCGGGGGTCCCGACCCCGCCCTGGCCCTGCGGCTCCGCGTCGAGGACCCCAAGAAGCTCAAGGGGAAGCACAAGGACAACGAGGCCATCGAGTTCAGCTTCGACCTGGACACCGACGACCCCGACGAGGTGGCCCAGGAGATGGTGAGGGGGGACCCAAAACCCCCTTGGTGGGACCCCAAATACCCTTGAGGGTGATCCAAAACCCCTCTGGGGACCCCCCCCAAAACTCTCCTCAAAGTCAATGAACCTCTAGAATTACCCTGAAGCCGAAGGTTGGTGACTCAAGCTCAGCTGGAGCCCCCCAAAGCCACTGACACCCCAAAATTCACCCATGAACTCCATGGTCGGTCCCTCAATCCCCCCTCGAGCCCCTCCCAAAGCCAACAAGTCCCCACATTCCCCCCTGAAACCTCCAGTTGGCCCCTGGGACGGGACCCCAACACCACCAGCTCTGGGGGTCCCCTCACCTGGCCCCCCCGATGCCCTCCCAGGTGAGATCCGGGTTCTTCCACGAGAGCGACTCCAAGGCCGTGGCCAAATCCATCCGGGACCGGCTGGTGCTGGTGCGGAGGGCGCGGGAGCGGCGCCCGGGGGGATCCCGGGGGGGCCCCGAGAACGAGGACCCCGAGGTGGATCAGCACGTCAGGCAGCAGCTGCTGGGGCAGCAGCCCCCAAACAACGGTGAGACCCCCCAAAACTGCCCCCCCTCAA